ACTCTCGGAAGCCGATACCCTGAAATCTTGTTGGACCCAAGGTGCTTGTTGTTGTTCAGTCGCACAGTCGAGTCCGACTCTTCGATTCCGCCTTCCCTTCCCCAGATGTCTAGCCGCCGCCACCCTAGCACAATGATTTTAGGCATGCCCTGCTACCTTGGAGAAGGTAATTCTGGGATACCAGATCCTTCTACTCAGGGGTCATTTCCTGCAGGAGCGCAGAGGAGCGGAGCTCCGGCAGTAAAGAGCCCAGGGGGCGGGTACATGCAACAAGCCCCACCCCCTGCTCCCAGCAGCCCTCAGTCACCCTTGGCAGTCTCCCGTCCAAGTCCTGACCCTGCTTCGCCTCCAAGATCGAATGCAATCAGGTTATACCGTTCCGCCTTCCCTTCCCCAGATGTCTAGCTACCCCCCCAGCACAATGATTTTAGGCATGCCCTGCTACCTTGGAGAAGGTAATTCTGGGATACCAGATCCTTCTACTGAAGAGAACTGCACAGTAGACAGAGCCCGTGCTCCTGGAAAGAAAAGGTTTACCCTAGTCTCTGAATGGTGATAACCAGCTGCGGGGTTTGCAAGGCCAGACATTTGAAAACGGGTATTGTTGGGGAAAAGAACCTAGAAGGGGTCCATGCCCTGGGTCGTGCCAAGGTAATTGTGGAAGAGAAAACAATAAGCCATAGTTCTTGTATGTGCCCCAAATTACTCGCCTGTATTCTGCATCCAATGTAACTGGATGACTTTCAGCAGAATGTTTTATTATCTGCGTAGAGCAGGGGGAAAGGGGATTTGCTACATTTCTTTTTCTCGTGTTCATATTTCAGTCTAATGGCAAAAAGATGAGCCACTTGATCCCAGCTGGGTCCCCCCTCCCCCAAGATTTACAGCATCTCATTAAATAGGTTGCTTGAATGCACTCTGACCTTGTCTTCCTTCCAGAAGTGTGACTTAAGCGGAGTGCGTGCGGGTGCACGATTGTTGGTATGCAGATACTGTCAAAGGCCGCTGTAGCAACGATCGTAAATGCAAGACAGCAGATTCTAGTTTGAAGGTTTTTGTGATATGTCCTGGGAAGCCCAGGAGTTCTTTGAAAGTTTATCTAGGGGTACCCTCCAATGAGGAGCTGCAGTGGCTCAAGTGGTTAGGACGCTGAACTGCTGGCTGTGGAAGGTCGGTAGCTCAGCAGTTCGAGACCCGAGTGTGCCGCAAGACGGAGTGAGCTCCCGTCTCTGGTTCCAGCTCCTGCCAACCTAGCAGTTCGAAAGCAAGAAATTGCAAGTAGATAAATAGGTACCACTTCGGTGGGAAGGAAACAGCGTTCCATGTGCCTCGGTGTTTAGTCATGCCGGCCACATGACCACGGAAACGTCTTCGGACAGCGCTGGCTCTTCGGCTTGGAAACGGAGATGAGCACCGCAACCCTAGAGTCGGACTCAACTGGCTTTCGAGCAAGGGAACCTTTACCTTTACCCTCCAATGAGAAGATCAGCAATGGCAGACGAGCTTCTCTTAAAGATCGCCGAGGGTTTTCACCACCAAGTCACAGCTAACATGTGACAACCCCGCATGGAGTTTTCAAGGCAAGAGACGAGCAGAGGTGGTTTGCCATTGCCTGCCCCCGTGTAGCAACCCTGGACTTCCTCAGTGGTCTCCCATCCAAGTACTAACCAGGGCTGACCTTGCTTAGCTTCTGAGATTTTACAAGATCAGGCTAGGTTTGCCTGTCTAGGTCAGGGCAAAGATGGCTCACTTTCCACTTTCTGTTGGGTAGGAGGGACTTGGGAATGTTTAGAAGGGGAGGTTGAGGAGGGACATGATTGCTCCCTTTAAGTACTTGAAGGGCTGTCACTTAGAGGAGGGCAGGGAGCTGTTCCTGTTGGCAGCAGAGGATGGGACTTGCAAGAATGGGTTTAAATTGAGGGTGGGAAGGTACCGGCTGGATATTAGGAAAAACTTGTGTCCAGTGAGAGTTGTGCAACAGTGGAACCAGCTGCCCAGGGAGGTGGTGAGTTCCCCCTCACTGGCAGTCTTTAAGCAGCAGCTGGACAAACACTTGTCAGGGATGCTCTAGGCCAGTGGTGGCGAACCTATGGCACGGGTGCCAGAGGTGGCACTCAGAGCCCTCTCTGTGGGCACACGTGCCATCGCCCCAGCCAGGCCCAGACCATCATTAAAGTGTTGGATTCTCTGCCAAATAATTTTAAGTAAATGAAAGCATTTGGGACTGCTTTCCTTACTTTGTTTGGATCCTCTTAAGTTAATGTACGAGTTGTTTTCTTCTAAAGTAAACCCTCAGTATTCAGGTTAAATTGCCGTGTTGGCACTTTGCGATAAATAAGTGGGTTTTGGGTCACAGTTTGGGCACTCGGTCTCTAAAAGGTTCACTGTCACTGCTCTGGGCGTGTCCCGCATTGAGCAGGGGGCTGGACTAGATGGCCTGTGTGGCCCCTTCCAACTCTATGATTCTATGATCAAGGTCCTTTGGGGCAATACAGAAGTTCAACAGAACTGCTCAGTGCCCTCTATGAATTAAGTGTGTACCCCAGGATATGCTCCAGAAACGTCTAGAGCCACTTCTGTCAGAGGGATGCTTCAGACTCTACTGAGTGGAGTGGCATGATACAAGCCGCTGTCTGAGGACTTCTTTACATGGAGTCTGGGCCTGCACTGTTCCAAGTGATGGTCTCTTTTGTCCTTCCTGCATAACTCAGATGGGCTATTGCGTTATGCTCCGTGGTAGAGAGGTTGGCATCAGTCGGGAATGCCTTTCTCGTTCCTTGGGATACAGAGCCACTCCAGTGGCCAAGTGAGATCAGGGGGAACGATGCAGAGTATGGAAGCTCCCAACCTTGTATCTCTTGACATTCCCAGAGAGCTGACCCATACGTTTTCCATCAGGATTCTGCATTACCCAGAGATAGGCACTTTCAGCCTGTCAGCAAACAGAAAAGAGCTGGTATGTAACACAGATCTCCCATCAGGCAGGTGATCCAAAGTCCTCATGGTATTCCCTAACAAACATGAATACACAAAGCTGCCTTCTGCTGAATCAGACAATCGGTCTATCAAAGTCAGTGCCGTCTACTCAGACTGGCCGTGGCCGTTCAGGTTCTCAGGCAGAGGTTTTTCACATCATGTGCTGCCAGATCCTTTAATTGGAGATGCCGGGGATTGAACCTGGGACCTTCTGCATGCCGAGCAGATGCCCTACCACTGAGCCAGGGCCCCTCCTCTAACAACATGAGGCTTAGCAAGGACTTCATGGTAGCTAGGGCTGCCAAATCCCCCCGGGGGGTGGAAAATCCCCCGCCCCAAAGGCCCATTCCCAAACGCCGGGGAATCGGGCCCCAGGGGGGAAACCCCGCCCCGGTGTGCACGTCACAGGACAGTGACGTCATGACGCCGGGCACGCTGGGGGCGGGGCCACGGCCATACAAGGGAAAATTCTATGGTTTTCCCTTGTATGGTCATGGCCCCGCCTCCAGCATGCCCGGCATCATGACGTCATTGCCCTGTGATGCGAATGCGGCGCACACGCGCTTTGCGCATGCGCGCACTCACCAGGATCCCCCAGGAGTCCCCCGCCGGCAAGGTAAGTCACAGTTGGCAACCCTAATGGTAGCCCTCAGCACCTCTGTCTACATTTTCCTCTTCCTTCTTGCCAGCATTTGGAGCAGCAGTTGTTCGTATGAAGTTGACCTCTGCTGACTTTGCACTGTTCTCCTTGGGTGATCTTCCTGGCCATTCTCTCTAAGTGCCTTCGGTTCGGAGGCATCAGTGGCCTGTTGACGTCTTGAGAGTTACATCCTCCCAGCCCTCATCTGAGACCCACCTCCTTGATGGAATTCTCCGACTCCTCCTGTCCAGACTTGTCCTTGGGTGCTCTGATCTTGACCCAAGAGCAGGGTGAACGCTTGAAGCTGCCTTCTACTGAATCAGAGCCTTGGTCCATCAGAGTCAGTATTGTCTACTCAGACTGGCAGCAGCTCTCCAGGATCTTGGGTGGAGGTCTTCCACATTCTTTAAAGTGGAAATGCCAGGGACTGAACCTGGGACCTTCTGCATGTTGAGCCGATGCTCTACCACTGAACCACGGCACAGAGACCGTGGGAAGAAGCGGACAGGGAAGAAGGCAGATGGCAATGGTGCCCGGGATAGGTCTTAAGAGAGGAGGATTGGAAAGGAGAGAGATGAGAAAGACTCGCAGGGCTCTTTTTGTAGAAAAAGCCCAGCAGGAACTAATTAGCATAACAGACCACACCCAACAGCAACCTCATTTTCATATTAGGCCACACCCTGACAGCACCACTCATTAGCACATTAGGCCACCCCCCCATTTAACCAGAAACGTGGACATCCAGCCACACCGACCTTTTTCTTCTTATTCTGTTCACCTTGTTTGTGGTCAAAACCCAAGGCTTTTTTTGTAGCAGGGACTCCTTTGCATGTTAGGCCACACACCCCTAATGTAGCCAATCCTAATGAGTTTCTGCTGTTGGGTGTGGCCTATTATGCTAATGAGGTCCTGCTGGGCGTGGCCAACTCAGGAGCCAGCCGGAACTCCGTTCCTGTGCGTTCCTGCCCAAAAATAGCCCTGAGAAAGAGAAAGGGAAGAGAGAGAGGAAACAGGCAAAGAAGAGAAGATGTATGGGCAGGAGAAGCAATTTTAACCAAACCCGTTGTTGATTCTGATTTAACTGATTTCTGTCATGGAGGGAATGGAGATTAAAGAAAAGAAAGTGAAAATTGCTATTAATAAACCATATTTTTTCCCCAGTCAAGAGGTAAGCACTGATCTCGTGTTTGCATGTTTCCAGTCCAGTCATTTAATGCCAATTCCTCCGCAGGAAACATCAAGAGGGTAGGATAAAAAGAGAAATCGGCCCGATGCCGCTGGATTCAGATGAAAGAGGGCTGCCTACGTGTTTCCTTCCCTCCCTAGTGACAACTGATGTGTCCAGAAGCAATAAGGCCAATTCTTTCCCTTTATGTGTCTTTAGCATTTGATGTGTGCCGGGCTCTGGTGCCTCGTGGAAGGGGACATGTCCTGCAAAACCAAACTGGACCCTCCTCTGGATGGCACGGAATGCGGGGCGGACAAGGTAATCCCAGATGCTGAACAGTCGAGCTCCGGACATTGGCCCACATGTTTGTGTTATCCAACCCAGCAGTGTACTCGGGAAGAACATTATGGTTTTGGATAATCTCTCAATAGTTTGGGGGGGTGGGTTGGGCTGTGTTTTTTATGTGTTTACTCCATTTGTACCCTGCTTTTCTCTCCAATGAGAAGCCATTGGTGTAGTGGTTAAGAGCGCAGACTCTAATATGGGAGAACCAGGTTTGATTCCCCACTCCTCCACATGCAGCTGCTGGTGTGACCTTGGGTCAGTCACAAGATCTTTCAGAGCTGTTCTCTCACAAGCAGTTCTCGAAAGAGCTCTCTCGGCCCCACCTACCTCACAGGCAGTGTTCCCTCTAAGCTGAGTTAGTGTGAGCTCAGAGTTTTTCAGCCTCTGGCTCACACATTTTTGTCTTAGCTCAGGAAGGATGACTCCAGGGCAACCTAATTTATGCAGTAGCCAAATTGCTCGCTCACAACTTTAACGCCAGTAGCTCACAAAGTAGAATTTTTGCTCACAAGACTGCACAGCTTAGAGGGAGCATTGCTCACAGGGTGTCTGTTGTGGGGAGGGGAAGGGAAAGGAGATTGTAAGCAGCACTGAGACTCTGAGTGAAGGGTGGGGTATAAATCCAATCTCCTCCTCCTCCTCCTCCTTTGTGGCTTATAGAATCAATTATAGAATGTTAAGAGTTGGAAGGGACCTTGCAGGTCATCTAGTCCAACCCCCTGCACTCTGCAGGAGCATAGCCAAAAGATGGTTGTCCAGCCTCCGCTTGAAAACGTCCAGCGAAGGAGCATCCACCACCTCCCGAGGCAGACTGCTCCACTGCTCAACCACTCTTACAGTTAGGAAGTTTCTCCTGATATTTAGCCGGTAACGACTCCCTTGTAATTTCCACCCATTGGATCCAGTCTTGCAATCCGGAGCAAGAGAGAATAGATCGGCTCCATCTTCTGCATGACAGCCCTTCAAATACTTGAAGAGTGCAATCTCCATTCTCCTCATCTGTATGTGGTCACAGACACATCTCACTCTCTGGAGGTTCCTTATCTGTCTTGTTTATTGTTGGCATTATAAGAAAAGCTTGGGATCGCAGTTAAGTCTTCCCTCCCACCGCCACCCTACACTGGAACGCCCAGGCTAGCCCAGTCTCAAAAGCTAAGCAGGGTTAGTACTTTAAATGGTTAGTACTTAAATGGGAAACCACCAAGGAAGTCTAGGGTCCCTACACAGATGCAGGCAACGGCAAACCCCATCTATGAATGTCTCTTGCCTTGAAAACTCTATGAGGACACCATAAGTTGGCTGTGACTCTTTTTGTTTTGTTTTTTTGAAACCCCCAAGAGGGTAGTTTTATTGGTTTTTCAATAGACTACATAACTACATTAGTAATTTTAATATTTTGAGAACACTTCTTGAGCATCTTCTTATTTTCATAGGGCTATTTTCAGAGTCCTCCTGCCCTTGCTTCTGTCTCCTTTCTCTGAAATCATACACCGTTTTGCTTGCTCCCGCACCCGCTTCCTCCCCAGAGTCCTCCCCCGTTCCAGAGGTAGCAGAGTCACTCAATTTTGCAAGTGTTAGGAAGCAAGCGGAACTCGGTTGTCTGAAGGCACGTGTGGATCGATGGGTTCCATAGATGCCACGCGTGGGACAGACTAGAATTCCACAGTTTAAGAAGCTGACCTACTTAAATCTCTGCCTGTTAAAGGAAAAAAGAAATCCACCGGGGAGGAAAAAGAAGCAAGTTGTTTTATTTAATGATGCCTGGCCTTTCTCCCAGATGAGGACCTGAAATGGCTTACATTGCTCTCCTCAATTCCAACCCTGTGAGGTAGGTTAGGCTGAGGGTGCGTGACTGGCCCAAGGCCACCCAGCAAGCTTCCATGGCAGAGTGGGGATTCAAACCTGGGTCTCCAGGGTATCCAGAGACTATTTGCATTTCAGCTGTTGGCCGGAATATCTTATTGGTCTAATCAGCAAAACCTCGGATGTTTACTAGCAAGCAGTAAGTGATAACAACATGGGTAACCAACTGGGCTTTGCCAGTTGCCACATGACCCCCCCCCCCCCCTTATTTTGATGTCCGTGTCCGGGCCCTGCTGAACTACCGACCTTCCACAGCCTGCAGTTCAGCGTCTTAACCACTTGAGCCACCGCCTTAAACGGAAGTATGTGGTGAGCAATGTTCCCTCTAAGCTGTGGAGTCCTGTGAGCAAAAATTCTATTTTCTGAGCTACCGGCATTAAAGTTGTGAGCCAGCGATTTGGCTACGGCATAAATTAGTTTGCTCCGGAGCCCTTCTTCCTCAGCTAAGACAAAAATGTGTGAGCCGGAGGCTAAAGAATGGTGAGCTAGCTCCCACTAACTCAGCTTAGAGGGAACACTGGTGGTGAAGCAGGAACAGCCTTGGGAGGCTTCCTTGCAGCTGCAGCTGGTGGTTTGCCTTCTAGCTGAGGCCGAATCCCCAGTTTACCCTCTTCCAGTCACCAGTTCAAGACCTGCAGCATGCTCAGGGTCTGAAGGCTGAGTGGAAACTCGTCCAAGTTGTTATTCAGATTTCATTATGTGCACGGCAGCCCAGATGGCACACAGTATTTGGAAGTGTGAGTGCATATCGATGCATAAGAGCATAAGAAGAGCCCTGCTGGATCAGGTCAGTGGTCCACATAGTCCATCTTCCTGTCTCACACAGTGGCCAACCAGTTCCTTTGGCGGTCCGACCAACAGGGTACAGAGGCTGATGTTGCCTCCTGGCACTGGTATTCAGAGGCTGACAGCCTCTGAACATGGAGGTTCCCTCTGGTCCCCATGGCTAGTAGCCACTGATAGACCTATCCTCCATGAATCGGTTTAATCTCCTTTTAAAGCCGCCTATGTCTGTGGTCACCACCAAGGCTCCCTCTAAGCCGTGGAGTCTGGTGAGCAAAAATTCTACTTCGTGAGCTGCTGGCCTTAACGTTGTGAGTGAGCGCTTTGGCTGCTGCATCAATGGGTTTGCTCCGGAGCCCCTCCTTCCTGAGCTGAGGCAAAAAATGTATGCGCCGGAGGCTAAAAAACTTTGAGCTGGCTCACACCGACTCGGCTTAGAGGGGACACTGGTCACCACTGCCTCCATTGGCTGTGAATTCTGCAAGGTCATTACTCGTTAAGTAAAGAGTGCCACTTCTCTGTCCTGTACCAGTTGTCCATCAGCTTCATGGGTGCCCCTGATTTTTATGTGAGAGGGAGAAAAAGCTCTCTCTGTCCGTTTTCTCCCCACCTCCATGTGTAACCCTATAAACCTCTGTCGTGTCCCCTTGACTGTCTTTTTGCTCAACTAAGGTCCCGTTCACACGCGGCGATTTGGTCCGGGAGCGGGCCAGTTCGGGGCCGGATCAAACCGGCGCGATCACACCACAACATCTGGGAAGCCAGGGGCCTTCGAACTTTTCAGCCTTTCCTCATAAGAAAGGTGCTCTAACCCCTTGGTCCTGAAGTACATGAAGGACGTGGAGCAGAAGCACACTCTGTGAGTCAGCCCCCCAACGTTGGCGCGGCTTTTAAAAGCCGCACCTTAAGAGGCATTTCCCCTGCCGTGTGGCAGGGGCCTTCGAACTTTTCAGCCTTTCCTCATAAGAAAGGTGCTCTAACCCCTTGGTCCTGAAGTACATGAAGGACGTGGAGCAGAAGCACACTCTGTGAGTCAGCCCCCCGAACGTCGTCGTTCTTTCACTCGCACGTGTTTGGGGTTTTTTTTGCTCTGATTTTTCACATTCCTTTGCTCATGTAAATTCTTGGCTCGGAACTGGCACACGATCCCGTTTCAGTCTCTTCGCTTTATATTCCTTTCTGCATCTCTCGTTCTCCTGCAGCTGGTTTATCCACTGGCCAAAAATTTTGGTTAGAGGATTTTTAAAAAACATACATACATATATTTTGTTTGGGGAGTTCTTTATTATTAGTAGTAGAATTAGAATTTGTGTTCCGTGCCAGGTTGACACTTGAGCCCATGAATCTATCTCAGTATTCCTCAACCCTCTTGCTTTCCTCGCTTGGGTTGGCTTTCTCCACACTATTATTTGCATGACTGTCCGTACGAATTACCTAAGACTTGATTGCAAGGTAGGGTGTTGTGAAAACAGCCCAGGCCTGTTCTTATTTTAGAGCTCAGCTCGCTCACATTCTTGCATGAAACTTTAAGGCCTCCCTATTTATCAAGAGGCCAACAGAGTGCAGAAGTGCCAGCAAGATTTGGGTTGGGAGAAGCAGGGGAATCCAAAACGAAAGGGAGCTCGGGGGTTTGTTTGTGTGGTTTTTTGTTTGTTTGTTTGTTTGTGGAGGGAAGAAGACTCCTTTGGATTTATGTTTCTCCTGCTAACAGCTGCCCACTTTCCCTTCCTTCGCAGTCCTGGACCTGGCGGCAAAAATTGCCGCGGAGCGAATGTCGAGCACACAGTTTGCGAAAACTTGCCATGTCCTAAAGGGGTGCCCACCTTTCGAGACCAGCAGTGCCAGTCCCATGACCGATATAGCAACAAGAAGAAAAACCTTTGGACTGCGGTCATCATGGATGGTTAGTTCCCCTTCAGCTTCTTGATCAGTCCCACTTCACATAGGCATGGTGGCAAAGGTCATTTAGCACCATAAATGCACGTGGCAAGGAGCCTCAGCTAGGGAGCAACCCAGTGCTGGTCTCTTGATGATACACACGGACATTAATTTGCAACACACACACACACACGTAACAGCTTTTCAGGTGAAATTAGAAAGTAACCATGTAAAAATGTAATGTCTGAGGGCCAATCTAGACAATACGCAATGCACAAGATGAGCAGGGGGGTCTCAGTCTTCCCTCCCATGCCATTTTCGTGAGCAGAAACAGCCATGGAGCAGGGCCTGTTTGCCCCACGGTGAGGTGCCACACACACTGGAATCACGTGATTGAAAATGCATGAATCCCGACAGCAGGGTAAGCAGATCTTTCCCACTGCTGTTTTCACTTGGGAAAATGGTGCAAGAGAGAAGAGGAAGAGGAAGAAGAATTGGATTTCTACCCCACCCTTCACTCAGAGTCTTAGAGCCCTCCCCACAACAGACACCCTGTGGGGTAGGTGGGTCTGAGAGAGCTCTGAGAGAACTGCTCTTGAGAGAACTTGTGACTGACCCAGGGTCACCCAGCTGGCTGCATGTGGAGGCGTGGGGAATCAGATGCAGTTCTCCAGGTTAGAGTCTGCCACTCTTAACCACTCCCCAGTGCTCCCAAGACTCACTGAGCAACTGAGTGTGCTGGAAGGTGAATTCCCTGATTGTACATTGGTTTGCAAGTTGAGTTATGGGATTTGTGTTTGGCCCTGAAGTGTACCTCCCAGATTCAAGCTTTCTGCAGGCTTGGGAGCTGTCTTTGGTCCCGGCTTCACAAACACAGGATTGGTTCGCACGTGAGGGTTTATCAATGCAATATCAAGTGATGGCTTAGATCCACAGCCACTCATTCACATGTTTCACAAATGCAGTAGAAAGAATGTTTGTGTCCCCTGATGGCACCTCAAATGCAGTTCTTTCTTTTTTAATTCGCAATTTTTATTTCAGAATGAAAAAGAATAGAGTTACATAACAATGCAATACATTTTATACATTCAAATACACAAAAGTGCAAATGGTACAAAGCTTGGACTGGTTTGGTTATTTAACATATCAAGTTATCAGCAGTTTAACACTAGTGCAGTGTCATTCAGAGGTATATCTCAGATCTTGTTTTGATGTTGCACATAGTTCACTGAAGTGCTACAGATGGGGAGTGTCCATAATGCTAAGGCATATGGTAACGCTATAACAGTAGAGTTAATTATTTTATACACCTTGGGAGGATTAGGGTTCAAAGTGATCTCAAATGCAGTCCTTTCCGGTGACATCGATTCAGACATTCGGCTGCAGGTCTCTGTGCACCCGAAAATCAAATAATGTGTGTGTAGATGTGTAGAGGGCTGATGGAGGTGGGGATGCTTCCTGTCTTGGCTTTTGGATCGTCAGACTGGACAGCAGTGCTGTTTGGTCCTGAGTCCTTACACCACGTAGTCCGCAGCAGGAGAACCTGAGTTAGCAGAACATAAGTCAGAATGATGTAGCGGGTACAAGCGATTGTAGGTCATTCTCTCTTAGGATGTCTGGAGTGATTGTTCCAGTTGGTCAGCCATGTTGGTCTGAAGCAGTACAACAAATTTAGAGTCCAGTGGCACACCTTTAAGACCAAGAAAGGTTTAGTCAAGGTATGAGCTTGTGTGTGCACGCACACGCAAGCTCATACCTTGACTAAACCTTTGTTGGTCTTAAAGGTGCCATTGGACAAGTGTTCCCTCTAAGCTGAGTTAGTGTGAGCTAGCTCACAGTTTTTTAGCCTCTGGCTCGCACATTTTTGTCTCAGCTCAGGAAGGGATGGCTCCAGAGCAAACTAATTTAGGTAGTAGCCAAATCACTCACTCACAACTTTAATGCCAGTAGCTCACAAAGCAGGATTTTTGCTCACAAGACTCCACAGCTTAGAGGGAACATTGCATTGGACTCTAAATTTGTTGGAGTGATTGTTTGTGTATTTATTATATTTATATCCCGCCCTCCCAGCCATGGCCCGCTCAGGGCGGTTGAGAGCCAAGGGCTCAAAGGGTGGTGGAAAGCGCTGACAGGTCACAGCTGACTCGTGGCAACCGTGTAGGGTCCCTAGGGAAGAGAGGGACAGAGATGGTTTGCCCTTGCCTTTCTCTGCATTGCAACCCTGACTTCCCTCGGTGGTCTCCCGTCCAAATGCTAACCAGGGCCGACCCTGCTTAGCTATCCAGTAACCAGATAACCTGTGTGTAGATGTTGTGGCCTGTCCTGGTGGAGGTGGGAATGCTTCCCCGCCTTGGCTTTGGGATCACCAAACTGGACGAGCCTGGCCCCACTCTGGTCAAGGCGAGGGCTATAATACACATTAGTTTCTTCTCAAGTATGTTGCTGTGTTGGGTAGCAAATGTGTTCCAGGAATTCCTCATCTCCTAGTTGTGCAGGAGCCCAATTCAGATGGGGATGGTCACTAGTGGAGAAAGGGGGCTCAGACCTTCCACTTCCCCCATCATTTCCCCAACCTGAAATGGCCCCAGGGAGCCATTAGTTGTCCCACTGAGGGCTATCTGTATGCTGATACGGCTACTTGTCAATTTTCCTACTGGTGCAGATAGCACAGGAGGAGGCCTGAGCCCTCTCTCCCCAGTCGCCACGGACCCCATGTACGTAATAAAATCACTCCGCTGACTGGACAAATTCCGGGTCTTTCCAAAAAAGCTCGGGTGATTTCCCACAAGCGCTGCTCCGCACTCACTCTTCTCTTTGGCCCGATGGTACGTGTCAATTTCACACAAGCTGCTGCGCAGCCGCATTTTGCCCCGCAGCTTAGTGCGATTTTCCCCGCATCTACTCAATCCTGTTTTTTGAGGATTGAGTAGATGCGGGGGAAATCGCACGAAGCTGCGTGGCAAAATGTGGCCGCGCAGCAGCTTGTGTGAAATTGACACGTACCATCGGGGCAAAAGGGAGGAGTGAGCTCGAGTTTCTTCTATCTGATAGAAACCCCAAAATTACCCACCAAGTAGCCAGTTTCTGTATGGTGATACTCAGATCACGGAAACTCTAAGGTAGCTAGTTAGACATAGTTGTTTTGATATTAGATTACATTTTAATTTGCTTTTAATGTGTCACTGATGTATCTTAAAATCTTGGAATACTGCAAAGGTGCACTTCCTTTTGTATGACTGGTCTAAGGACTGTAGAAATAAATTGAATACTACTTGAACCCCACGTACTTGGGAAATACAGAATACTCAGCATGCGTCTGTGACGCAACCTGGGGCTGTACCCTGGAAAAATGTAACCATGGTAAAAACGTGCAGTTTCATTGCCTCTGACTTACAAAACAAGAGAGGGAAGGTGGGTTGAAGATGGTTAGTCTCTGTGTTTATATAGATGAAGATGTGTAGATTTTCATTTTTTCATCGTTCGTATTCTTATGTATTTATTTATTTAATTCAATTTAATTTGTTAGGGCGCCCTTCCTAGCAAGCAGGGCTCAGGGCAGCTTACATCAATAACCATAACGATACTCCATTAAATAACAATTAAAAACTACTAAAACAATATACTCGAGACAATAAAGGTTCCCTTGCTCGAAAGCCAGTTGAATCCGACTCTAGGGTTGCGGTGCTCATCTCCGTTTCAAAGCCAAAGAGCCAGCGCTGTCCGAAGACGTTTCCGTGGTCATGTGGCCGGCATGACTAAACACCAAGGTGCACAGAACGCTGTTACCTTCCCACTGAAGTGGTACCTATTTATCTACTTGCAATGTCTTGCTTTCGAACTGCTAGGTTGGCAGGAGCTGGAACTAGAGACGGGAGCTCACTCCGTCATGCGGCACCCGGGTCTTGAACTGCTGAACTACCGACCTTCCACAGCCTGCAGTTCAGTGTCTTAACTATTTGAGCCACCGCAGCTCCTACTCCAGACAATACAACCTCATCATTTCAGATGGCGAAAAGTTTCTGTTCTTGCCAGCTCCCTGAGGGTAGGGGTGTTGGTGGGCTGGGTAGGAGGGTGCCAACCTTCACCGTTCTCAACCGAAGGCCTGTTGGAACATCTCTGCCTTGCAGGCCCTATGGAAAGCTAATAAGTCTCGCAGGGCCCGGATATTTTCAGGCAGAGCGTTCCACCAGGCAGGAGCCAACTGTTTAGGAACATTCCATATATGTTCCTAATGCACTGGGTCCGAGCAACTCTCGGGCAGTGTGTTGCACTTGATTTGTATGACGGCAGTTGCTTGTTAAATTTTATTTTCCAGATAAGCCCTGTGAACTCTACTGTTCCCCCATTGGGAAGGAATCTCCCGTGCTGGTGTCAGACAGGGTGGTCGACGGAACTCCCTGCGGCCCTTACGAGACTGACCTCTGCGTTCATGGCAAGTGCCAGGTGGAGTAACTTTTTTTTTTGTAAATACTTTTATTTCCCTCTCCGAAAAAGGAGAGAAATTCTGCTTTGAAAGAAAAATAGGAAGGGTATATAGAGGGATAAAGAAAAGTGTTGAGTGATGTTAGATATTGGTATGTTAATCTGTTAGTATAAAGGTTAAAGTTCCCATCAAAGTTTATGACTTCTTCTGCAGTTGGATACACGTCTGTTCCTTCTTTCTTTTCAAATCTGGCAATTAGTATGTTAGTAAAGTCCTTTTGGAATTAGTATTTCTTCTTTGGCACATCCAGATAAGTCCTTATATTTTAAGATGTTTTCCTTTTTTCTCTCGTAAATTGTACTTTGGACCTCCGGCTGCTCCTTTTTCTTCCTCTTCTTTCACCTCTCCTTCCGAGCTGCTGCTTTTGTCGCTTCTCCCCGACATCCACTCGGCGAGTTCTGCTTCCTCTTCTATATTGGCGTGCCTCTTCAAAAATTCCTTTGCCTTCGAGATAGAATCAATCCTTTCTCTTCTGTCTTTAAATTTACAGACCAGTCCTTCTGGCGTTAACCACCTGTAACTAATTTGATGTTTTTGTAAGAACAAAGTCAGTCCTTTATATTCTTTTCGTTTCATTCTGATTTCAAATGGGATATCTTTCAAAACTCGGATTGGTTGTTCTCCAATTTTCAGGGGTGTTGTTGATACTGCTTTTAGAATTTGATCCCGGAGACGTTGCTTGGTAAATTTCACCACCACTTCTGCAGGTAGCTTGTTTTTCTTTGTAAAGTTGGAGTAGGCTCTATAGGCCAAATCCATCTCTTCTTTTACTTTTTCCGCTTCGCTGCCGATCAGAGGTGCCAATGCTGTTGCCAAAATGTCTCTGAGGTCCCTCAGGTGGAGTAACTTTTTGTTCTCTTCTCTTCAGCTTGCCCTGTCGTAGCTTTCCTGTTGGACTTCAGCTAAGGCATATGTATCACAAGCTAGTAGGCAGCATAGCAACCATTCAAAGGGGCGGGATTCAAGTGCGCAGTGCAGAGCAGTGGTTCCCTCTGCGCTCGGACTGCGACAACCGATTCCGGAGTTCACTGGTGAGGGTGGTACAGTCCTCTCAAATAGTTGCACTGCTTTGGTATCTAGCGTGAGGGGTTCTTCATCTCAAAAACACCTTTCTCTGAAGTATCGTGCCTAAGGTCAAATGTTTCGGTCCAGTTAAGATGACTTGAAAACAGGGAAGAAATATTAGCTTGTATCAAGATTATGTCGCCTGGGACGATCATACCTGCCGGACTGCCTCTCCCCCTATGAGCCCCGGAGAGCTCTTCTGAACAATATCTCCTGGTGGTCCCTAGCCCAAGGGATGTCTGCTTAGCCTCAACTAGGGTGAGGTTTTTTTTGGCCCTGGTCCTGGCCTGGTGGAGCATGCTCCCATTTGAGATCAGGGCCCTGTGGGATCTAGCCCAATTCCGCAGGGCCTGTAAAACGGAGCTGTTCCACCAGGCCTTTGGTGGAGACAGTGGGCATTCAATGCATTCTGGGGCCCCTGTCCTGTCTACAGCGCCGTTTATGACTTTTTATCCCCAGTGTCCTACTGTTTTGGATACTATCTGAGTTTCCTACGGTAATCTCCCTTATAAATAAAAGCCGAATGGTGGTGGCAGTTCTCTAGAACATTCCACACGCTCCAAAATCAGTTCGCTCTCTGATCTGTCACTCAGAGGGTCTCCCTATCCACTGGCTGCTTTGCCTGAGTCCTGAGTCCTGCCTCCAACATTCCTCCCCCCCCCCGATAGCCAGTCAGAACACAGAGGTTATTTGCATATGCAGCCTCATTGGCCTCTGCCTCGGAACACAGAGGTTCCAAGGCATATGCGACTTGATTGGCTTTTGCCTCTAACATTCTAAACAGTTTGCTATTCTGAGGTAAAATGGGTCCAATCTCCAGGTGAGGGCTGGAGATCACTCAGAATTACAACTGCTTTCCAGATGGCAGAGATCAGTTCCCCTGGAGAAAATGGTGGGCTCTGTATCCTTATATGCTGCTGAGGTGGCCCCCGTATGACAGCCAATGTGACATCGCAGTCAGGGCTTCAGAGCACGGGAGAGGCTGCAGGTGTGTGGGGGGTGGAAAGCTGAAGAGTGAGGGGGAAATAAAGGTAGGTTGATGATTGGCTGGGAAGGAGATGGGGTTGCCAACTCCAGGTGGGAAATTCCTGGAGATGTGAGGGATGGAGCCTGGAGAGGGTGAGGTTTCAGGAGGCGTGGGACGTTGGACAGGTACAAAGCTATAGATTCCACCCTCCAAACCAACCATTCCCTCTGGGGAACCATCGTTGCCAATCTCCAGGTGAAGGCTGAAGATCACTCAAAATTACAACTGTTCGTTAGGTAGAAGAGATCAGTTCCTCTGGAGAAAATGGTGGACTCAATGTCATTATACCCCGCTGAAGTCGCCACAGCAAATTGACCCTGAGTGTCCAAGGCTGTGGCACCCGCCCAGAGCCTCTTTCTAGAGGCCGTTGTATTTATTTCCACAACGGGCCTTTTTTCTAGTTAGTTCATAAGGCATGGGTTTGGTTTGATCTGCTGTTGCTATTTATTGTTTTACTGTTTTTATTGCTTGTTGATTTTATGTTGTGAGCCTCCCTGAGCCCATTTTTTGGGGGTTGTTGTTGTTGTTGTTCAGTCGCACAGTCGAGTCCGACTCTTCGCGACCCCATGGACGAGCTCTCTCCAGGCCTTCCGGTCTTCTGCCGTCCTCTGAAGTTGGCTCAACTTCATGCCCTGAGCCCAGATGACGGGGGTAGGGCGGGGTATACATTTAATAAATAAATAAATAATGAAATTAAGAGAACTTAAGTGCCCTTATGTTTTCTTAAGGGGGGAAGGGAGGATTTTTACCAATCCCCCCTCTGCTGCCCACAGAGCCCCCTAAATTTTGTTCCGGGGTTGGGATCTGCAGACCTTCAAGAGTACCACAGTGGAGGCCTGCAGAGGACAGGCGAAATCACTGCTGCCTCATAGGGAAACGTAAGTGCTCCTCAGTTTTCTTAGAGCCAAACATTACTTTTTCCATACAGCACAATTCCAAGCCCATTGGCGCTCTCCTTTGTTTAAAGAAGCAGTTCCCCGCAATTGCCATGCGGCTGCGGAGAACATGTGAAAACGCGTTAAAACACCTGGAAAAAAAGTAATGTATAGTTTGGCTCTAAATATGGTTGGATACAGGCCACCGTTGGTTCACCAAAGATCGCTCACTTTTTTCCGGTTACAGAATTTGAAGGTTGTTTTCGTGTAGACCCAGTTGTCTGGCTATGCTCAGACCCCAGCATTCTGCACTGTGTACCTTTAGGTAAGATGTGAGCAGCCAGTAGTGTTTGAATGATTTGATGCAGTTGCCCAGGACAGGAAGCGTGGCCGGCCTCTCGTAGGTCCTCTGCTCTCTTAGAATTCTTTTGGCTGCTGCTTCTGCTATCAGGCTTTTTAGCATTTCCACTTGAACTGGCACAGCCAATCGGGGGCAATGCCCAGGTCTTCAGGTCAGACATATTGGCACAGCAGCTGCTACACTCCCAATTCAACACACTTCAATGGACAGGAGATGGCAGGGACAGTATTGCTGGAGAATGCAGGTATGCAAGCGTCTCTCCCATTATGTTTACACACCAGTCCTTTTCAGCTCTATGGAAATGTGGGGAGGGAAGGTATCCTGGGCTGACTTCCCTGTGGGTTACAGAGATCGGGCACTGTGTAAAAAGCCCAGTAGCACCTTTAAGACTAACAAACTTTTTTGTAGCATAAGCTTTCGAGAAACACAGCTCCCTCTTTCGAAAGCTTATGCTACAATAAAGTCTTAAAGGTGCTACTGGGCTTTTTACTGTTTCGCAGCCACAGGCTAACATTGCTAACTCCTCTGGATCTATGTCCAAAACAGGTATCCAGTCCTCCAAACAAGAGTCTTCCATGATCACAAGTGGTCTACAGGTCAGTGTCCATTTGAAATCAGTTGATCTGCACCTGGCCTGTCTTGTTTGCAGGTTTTCCATAAACACTGCTGGATATACAATGCATAATTTTAGAGTCCCAAGGGGCTGGTTTTAACCTTTTCAAGCCCTCGGTGGACTCGATCCAGGCCATATGGCAAGCTGTCTATGAAATCGGGACTCTCCCCCCCCCCTTCGCCCCCAGTGTTCAGCCTCCTCCTGCTTCAGTTCCAAGAGCCACCTGTGGTTTTTACTAACAGAGGATCTGACCCAGTTGGAATTTCTCTCCCGTCTCCACTTTCCTTTTAATAGGATTTTTTTTTCCGGCCCATGTGTTTCCGCTGCTGATCGTTCTTCCCAACTTTATATAATAATTCTCCCTTTGTAACATCCCAGCTGGTTGCTGAGCTCAAGAACAGTGTCTTATTTTTTTAAAAAAAATATCTAAACTTAGTGTGTGAGTCTTGGAATGCATCCAAAGAAGATCATGATTGGGGAATCGGGCTAGAAAAACTGAACGCTCTTTAATAAGAACACCTCTCGACTAAGGAGCCGGCTACCCCTCCCCCAGTTTTTGGGAAATTGCCCTGGTAGGACTTTTTTTTAAAAAAATTACGAGATGTGATCTGAGTTTCTGAACATCAGGTATTTAGCAGCAGCAGCAGCAACGTGTTTAGAATAGACTGGTGGTTACAGATATATTTATTATTTTATGCAAAACTCACCCATGATTCAGTCTTGAAGCAGAGCGGCACGCTTCTAAGCCCGTAGACATGAATGGACTTAAAAGGTACAACTCTAATCTGCCCAGCATTGGAAGCCAATGTTCTCATACTGCGCGAAAACAGCTGAAGCTGCTTAAACTGATATAATTCATTCTTCGATGTGATCATTCTGGGCGACAGGGAGGAAAAAGTTTCTATACAGGCCTTTCCACACATTAAAGGTAAAGGTAAAGGTTCCCTTGCTCAAAAGCCAGTCTAGTCCGACTCTAGGGTTGCGGTGCTCATCTCCGTTTCAAAGCCGAAGAGCCAGCG